CGGACGTCCTGCATCTCGCACATCTCCAGCCACGATATCGTGGATATCCTGTATCCCGGCTCCGCGCGTCACCGAGATTCCTGCATAATGCCGCAGCCGAGTAGCGCATCACACCCGGCCGTTATGCAGTCCATCCCGTAAACGGACAACGACCCCCCCGTGCATTTCTCGGTGTACGACTTCGCCTCCGCCGCCGCTCGCAGCCGTTATTACGGCGGACGTATATGCTCGCCGGTTCGAAAGCATATATATATCGAGAAGACGCTCTTGCATAACAGCCGCATTCAGGGCAAATTTCGCTCCACTTGACGCGAGACATTCGAATAAAGACAAAGTCAATAAAAGCGAAATCAGATAATGAGTGTTCCACTCATGAGAAGAATGGCTATATCATTAAATAGAGATTCAATGTACGTTTAGTACGGCTACACGGAAAGAACAATTTTGCCGAAGTATCTAAAAATTGAGTTAAATACAAATCTAAAAATAATGTTATTGGATTAAAATTATAGTAATGTTATTGGATTAAAATTATAGTAATCGCTATAGACTGGTTGTTGGAATGTTAAAATTTTTTGCAATATTGCTCATCATCCTTGAATTTCCTACATAATTATTTTGATGAACAAAATTATTCTTCAAATCTGTATCTAACTAAATTTTTAGATACTTTAGCAAAATAGTTCTTTCCGTGTAGAATCTGAAGCTATTATATATGTGTAATTTTTTTTATAAACGTCATATTTATTATGCCGAATTATGCGAATGTATTTATAACAATGTCACTTCCGACAAGATTTCCTTTATCTGTATTTATTCGTATGTCTTTTAATAATTCGATTTATGTAATAATGTAAAAACATAATCTACATATATTTTATCAATGTGATTTAATCAATGTGTCCTAGGATACAATATTCCTTCTGTTTAATTATTCTTTCCCCCATTGTAAAATTATTTGTTTGCAACTTACATCAACTATAGGTTTCTTCGTTATCGGCTATAGCAATAAATTTCCTTCTTGGTTACAAGTAGGTATTCTCTTATCGTCTACCGTTATTCGATTCTTGTTATCAGATACAGATAAAATAGTTGTTTAAAACTTTAATTCTAATTTTTCTAGTTTGTAGCATTTTCCTTCCCTTTTTCTTTAATATCATCATACAAATAGTTATAATTTTAATCTTTATTCTTGATGTAAATGTTTTAATCTTCAAGTTAATTTTAATTTTAATCTTGATTGTCTCGAAGATAAAATCGTTATGATATCTGTCAGCTTTGTAGTTATTTATAGTCAGCGCTAAAGTTCGCGATAAGAAACGTAATGCTGGAATTTACGCAGCACTCTGAAAAAAGATTGATTTTATTTTAATAATTACTGATTTCTATCTTTTTTTTTTATGAAATTTTGTTGCTTTTTATATTTATTAATGATAAGAACAATATTTTGTTTGAGCTTTAATAATGGAAAAATACATCTTAAGTTCATCGTACAAGACATTTTGAACAATGAAAATAACAGATGAAACAATACGATGATGTATCACTCATATCACTTTGTTAACATAATGAATTAATGTTTACGTTTCTCACTTTTACATAAAATGGATTTAAATTTTTCTGTGAAAAATAAAACTTCAAATCAAATTCTTTAAAAAAAGGAAAAGAAAAAAATGTATTATTTTACAGATTAAAGTAATACTTTTAATACTCTATTGTAATACTCATAAAGATCTTCGAGAATTATTTACGTAATTTAAAATTCAAGGAAACAAATTTGTATGAATATACAATTAAAATGTTCAAAAATTTCAATTAATTTAATTAATTACTACTTTTTAATATAACTATTCCTTTGTGTTGAATGTCAAATAATTAATAATAAATAAAATAATTAGTATAGTTAGATTATTTTATAAAATAATTTCTTAACTAACAATAAGAAGGAGTTTTGTATTAATCGAATAATTTACGATCCTAAAAGCCATGCGATCATCCAATATACTTTGCGCTCTAATATTCTCTAAGATCTACAAACAATATATGGTGGCAAACAGATTAACAGATGCGCAATGTGTAATTACTTATCGCTTATTGCAATAATGAGTAGAAATCGCGATACCACTCGTAGTCGTGATAATCAGTCACCGATCACGGTGGCATTATCTCAGAAACGTGCTTCATCGCGTTATCACGTGCACCGCTCGCACGATTCACGCTCGAGGGACACGCACGGATCGCAGACAAGTGTCTCACCTGTCGCACGTGTCGATAGCGGCGACCAATCGCGGCACACGAATCTTGATTCACGCCTCTAAAGGTTTAGATCGACTATATATGAGGTCACGATTGAACGATGAAATTTTACATTTCGACGTTGTTTTCCTTAAGCAAATATATGTGATATCTGACACTACCCGAGCTTGTGAGACGCCAGCTACCTCTGTTTACACGAGGCTTTGTCGTATCGTAAACCCGCCGATCGTTGCACAATTTGTAGAAAATGTGCGTCAATTGATGTATGCTTTGCCGACGACGTTGGCGTTCATCACGTGAAAGCGTCTCAACATGAAGCTCTACCATGTTTCCATTTAGAGAAATTTTACGCTTTTTAATTTATCCCTATTTCTTATTTTCTTTTTTACAAAAATTTTATATACGTCATTACTTAGCTAGCTGTTGAGCTCTCATTATATGATTTACGAAAAATATATATCAAGTACTTAAAATTTTTAATGTGCGCGGTTAGGAAAAAAAAGATCTTCCTCGGTGATCAATTCCTCGATAATATAATACAACCTTCAGTCTTAAATCAAAACATGCATCTGCAAGCTATATTAATCCAATTACAATTAACTCGTGAGAATAAATTCCATACGAATTAACGTTTTTCTTTCTTTAGTTATTCGCTGTGACGCAATTTAACGTTAGTTACTCCGTACCGAGCAATTATATCGCACAATAAATTTGTAGACGCAGCAGTAATTTTTATGCAAAGTCGGAGCGACAGGAGCACGAAGAAACTTTAATTTCGCATATAAATATTAGATGCGGGAGAGAGGATAACGGAATAAGAATATTCTTGAGAAGAGAGCAAGTTTCTCATAATTGAAAATTAGTAAGTAGAACAATAGTGATATATATATAGATAAGATTAACACTTTTATAAATCAATAAGTTGATAAATATGTTTTGCACCTTAACTTCATATCGAATTAAATTATAAAAGTGTATATATTGTACAAGAAAAGTATGTAACAGTTTGTAATGTATGTTACACTCACCAAAAACGTGACATAAGACTTCGATGGATCGCAGTTGTCGCAATCGATTATAAATTGCCCTTGATAAAGCTGCCCATCGTGAATGTTTCTGAAATGACAAAAAATTCTACGTGTTACTAATTTTTAATTAATTAAATAATTGACAAGAGTCGATTTGATATTGTTATCAAGATTTTAAAAAACGAACACTCATCATTATATCAAGTGGCATTGATATTTCATGTCTTTAATAAACGATAAAATAATCTCAAATCGTTGTTTTGCATCAAATTAAAAAAAATTAATAAATAATTTGACGTATAAAAGACACAGTCTATCTTATCTACTTCTGGTAGAGAAATAACGAAATGAACATTATATGATTGTTATATCTTAAAAATCGCAATAAAAGATAACAGCTGCTGGTAGAAAATTAAGAAATGCAATTAAGAAAATCTCTTGTAGTATTGCCGTTTCCATTATTGCATTAATAAAATATTGTTAACATATTTTAAATAAAAAATTAATTCTAATAAGTATGCAAATAGTATGTTTCAATAGACGTGGAAAGAATTTAAGCGTTCAGGAAAAACCGAAAGAAGTCAACGCAAATATAAAATAATTATAACATGAACGTTTTTTTCTTTGGAAAATACGATTAAAAATAAATACAAGAGATGCAACAAATAAATAAATTTGTATCAATATTTTGCATTAAGTAGTCTAGTCTAGAATTTCAAAAAATCGATTTTTTAAATATTTATAGTCTCGAAAATAAATTCTTAAAGATTTCATCGATATTTGTAAAAATAACAAGTAACAACAAAGAAATAAAGAAGATATGGATATTTTTAAGTTGTAACGCACAAATCGCGTTGTGCACTCAAAGGCAGCTATTATCAAACTAATATTCTTTCATACAATAGTCTCGTTGTCTTATATTTTATATATTTTAATATGCGATAATAATATTACGTCAATATTATGCATTTTATGAAACGTGTTATTTAATAATCAGCGTAAAATATCAAGCAACATTTCTTGAAAAGAATATTCAGAAACTATAGTATTTAGAAATTACAAATTATTATTAAAATATTAAAATAAAAAATTTGCATCTTACAATTAGTTCAAAAATAACATCCCAGAGTAACTTCTTATTTTTGTTATTAATCATAATGAAGATATTTGTAGCGTTTCGCTTTTTTTGATCGCATTTACCTCGACAATAATTTATTATTGCACGACAAATGAAAAGGCAATGCGGAGAATACCTTCTCTAATAGAAGAAAAACTAAGGTTGCAACCAAGCGAATTAACGGTATTCGTTTTCGCGATAAAAGCTATTATGTACACAGGTACATATCTACCTACACATATCGAGTTCTTTATTTGCACATACGGAGTTTCAAAAATTGTGGATTACAATTTTGATGCTAAACTACGTATAGCAATTAGAATTATGAAAAAAAAAAATAACAAAGATGCCGAGACAAAAAAGGCTCACGCGGTAAAGTGCCTCGTGCTTTCCGGGCACACGAATGAATCCATAACGCGAATATAAGACAAAATGGCAGGGAGCCAGTCAATTACGGTCGGATTAGCACTGCATATACGAGGGGGATCTCTCCTCTCTCTCGCTCTCCCTTTCCGCACGCAGAATCCGCGTAGCCAGTGTCCCTTACACGCTTCGCCACCTCGTGCCGCGCCACGGCCTTTGAAACGCTATATAAAGTGACAAAGCTGTGGAACATTGGCGGGCACGCTCCGATATTCTCGCATCGGCTTTAAACTCGTGCTTTCCGGCTGCGTCGCACGACTCGAAAAGAAGTCGGACAGGCCACATGGGCCGCTTTTGTCGCCGAGTGTTATCGGCGGCCGATCGACCGGAGTAGTGGCGAGGTGATTACGCCGCGCGATGCCGATTTAAAAGGACGCATTCGCTGTACCGCGCGCTTCATTCCCGAGTGTTCCTGAGGATGTCACGTTTCAAGACGCGCAACGCCGAAGCATCGTTGAATTGACGTATCGACAGGTGCAATCGAATTGACACCGTCGCGGTGCCACGCCACGTGTATCCCCGAGTTCCCTTACGACACCTCAGGTAAGCGGTAACTCGGTTTGCCATTTGCTGCATGCGAGATTAAAGCGCGCGTCCGCGGGGTGCTCGCGGTACACGTGAGAAGATTCGAACAATCAGCACGGATGCTAAAGAGGCGGCGAGATAGGAACTAGGTTGGCGAGCGACCCCGTTCGTATGTACACGTTAATATCGTCAATGCGTATCATAAGTACTCGTTGTTCAAACGTTCTGAAAAATTATAAATTGTCTCGCGATAAATTTAAAAAAAATTTTGATTTTTTTACTGAATCTATAAAAATTATTTAAATATAGCCCTGAAAATAATTTTTGTTGGGCCATAAAAATAATTATATAGAAAATTCAAACATAATGAGAAATTTTGTCATTCTAGCAACGAGCTTGAAATGTTCTACATAATTATCTTGACAATCCAAAATTTAACTAAGTACAGATCTGAAAATAATTTCGATGGACCATCAAAACAGTTAAAACGCTTAAATATGATGATACTGCAAAAAGTTTTGACATTCTAGCCACCAGGTTGAGCGATCTGCATAATTATTTTCATGGTCAAAATTAATTTTAGATCTGTAGTTAGCTAAATTTTTAGAATATTTTAGATACTTCAACAAAATCATTCTTTCCGTACACTTATGTTACTGTATAATGCCTGAGAAATGAAAATAATATAGCATACAAAATATATCATTTCTGTTTTTTTCAACGTTAGCAAACAAATTCTTTGAGATGTCGCGTATAAGATAAAGATAACTATACGAGTCACCTTCAGCGTGTAATTATACTCAATTATATCCTGTCGTAACCAAACAATTTTCAAACAAGATAATAACAAAGACACGAAGAAACTATAAATAAAGTTATACAATAGTCGTTTTTTTTCAAGAAAATTAAAAAATACGAATAAAATCGTACAGTTTACGTGTCGTGTTTAATTTTAAATCTTGTCAAATAAATTTTTTCAACAAATATATCATCTAAATTAATATCCCAGGGAACAAGCTACATCATTTGTCGTTATTTTTCAACAAAATAATGTCTATTGTTAAAATGATTTCAAGTAATATCAGCTTGCTACTTATATCCTAATAGATCTTCATCCCGCTACCTGTTTAGATTTTTATTACCTCACACTTTTTTCTTATCTAAAATTTTTTTTTTAATTTTCGATCCACAGTCAGTCCTATTTAAATAGAGCATTGCATTATATATCGATCCTCTTTCTATCTTTCGTTTTAACATAAGAAAAACTGAACTAATCAGTATTTTCGAAAATTAGAATGCATGGCGTAATTGATCAATATTTAATGAAATTTTATCTCTCCTATAAACAAAGCTCCTTCTTGATCTGGAGTAGTTTACAGCCGTCTTTTGTATCGAACACATCTTCGCCTCGCATCGTTTGCTCTAAAGACTTATTATTAGTAAAAGAGAACACTTTATCTATTTTCTTTTAAAATATTACGTCACATCTCACACGCGCGAATTACTTGCAAACGCTTATGTAAACCGTGGGAAAAGTGTGCAAGAAGAATTGCAAAGCCGATCGAGCTAGGACTCCCCGGTGTAAGTAGGATACATTTGACATTATAGTAATTTTATTAGCTTGGTAACGGACTCCTGTACAGTTCCCCTTTGTCACGTATGATGGATACTTAATGTGAAGTTAATCGTGTGTCAAATTAGGAACAGCTGATCGCGTCGGGTGAGCCACCCGTGATTTATGCTGACTACAGTATCAGTAGGGTAAAAGACCATGTCTCTAATAGAATTCTATTTTGAAATTTAATGCAAATCACAAATCATTTAAAGTGGGTTTAAAATTACGCAAGAAGTAGAAGAAGAGATAAGAACTCTTCTTTTTACAACTATCTCATTTAGTTAGATCTCTCGCTTAGTCTCTAGTTTAGTGATCATAAAATACTGATACACAATGTATGAAATAAAAAGATGTAAAAATTCGAAGGTGCAACAAATAATGATAATTACATAATAAATATAAGAATCATTTACAAAAATTTATTTTTTTTAAATAGTTTAATGTAAATTTCAAAGTTTTTCAAAATAGAATGAGTTTCAAATATATGTATTTTCTACGTCATTTATTTTGCGTTGCAAATTTTTCAGTTGCATAATTCAAGATAAGTCTTGAATAATGAAACTAGAGTATTGAATAATGATTGTCAAAGCAACAAATAAATGTGCCATTAAAATAATAAGATAATCATTGAACTTGCATTTCTAATTTTAATATAAGAATTTCATAACTTTGATATCAAATAGTAAATATATAATAATTTTAAATATAAAATATAATTTTAGATCCAAAAAAATATATTTCTCTAAATAATAATGACGAATTTTTTATTTAACATGTTACAGTGAAGAACTATTCACAATGAAGCGCTGCATCCTATTACTTTGCATCGTAGCGGTTCTTCGAGATTCCGAAGCGCTACGTAAAGGATCCACGGATTATGAAGGTGTGTTATATTTATCATATTATAAAATCATACTATATCATACCATAAAATAATTGATTGATATACCATAAAATATTCGAATTAGATCCCAAAGTTCTTAAATAGCACGAACACAAATTTAAAATTTAAATTCTCCAAATTCTTTATAATTATGATATTAATAAACATACGCTGCAAATTTTAAATATGCAGCATATAATAAATAGGTACATAAAGGATTTTCAAAAATACAATACATACACGTCATTCATTAATAAATTTCTATAGATCTGCTAGAAGATAGCAGATTGCTCAAATCAAATTTAGGTAAATTTTATCTTATCTTAGAAAGTCGATAAAATAATCGTGGTACGAAGTTCGCTCTTCGTCGAGCATTATTGATGCTTCAAATTTTCATGCATTGATATTATTTTGTTAAATAATAATTTATTTATATTGTAACAAGTTATTGATGCTCGAGGTAATTCTCACAAAATAGCTCTTGTGAATAAAAAATTATTTATTAGTAGTGACAATATTATTTCGATTTTCAAATCTTATTCTTCAATGTTTTAAAAAATTAGTAAGCACTCGACGCAAGTGTCTAAATCTTAATTTGCTTATATCGCTTTATATCGTCAATTTGTTTGAATTTGATCTTATCCCTCTTTCTAAATAAATCCTAAATAAAACCATAACATTTTAGATAGTAAGTTACTAGGGCCTATAATATAGTCTAAAGATCGAATCGAATTTGATATTATTTCTCTTTCTAAATAAACCGTAGATAAAACTATAATATTTTAGGTAGTAAATTACTAAGGCCTTTGATATAGTGTAAAGATCTCTAATTGATAATTTCTTTTTCAATATTTTTTTATAGTTTTCTTTATCTTCGAACTCCCGCCTGCCCGTCCTTTCACGATCAATCGATAATATTCCTTGGCAACGAAACAAAATTTTGACCTCTCCTCAGATATGTCCTTCTGGCTCAAATCCGGCCAAGAGACCCTGCACAGGATCCTGACGGAGCCGAAGAACGAGAATCGTGCCAAAAACGTGATCATCTTTATCGGGGACGGTATGGGCCTGTCCACCATCACGTCCGGTCGAATCTATGTGGGTCAGCTCAACGGTTACAGCGGTGAAGAATACCAACTCTCATTCGAGAAGTTCCCCAACGCCGCCCTCGCCAAGGTAGACATTCAAATCGCATCGACCTGCCTTCAATCTCGACGGCGGCGGCGGTCTCGCGAGGCGCGACGATATTTGGAAATCCCGTCACGTTAAGCCGCTTAATTCCGCGCCTTTGATAAGGACGCCGCGTTCTATCCTCGACGGGAAAATACGACAAACGCGATGCTCGCATTACAATTAATCCCCGTCGATCTTCTGATCGCTCGCCAAACACAAGTATTCGTAGATTCATATCACGTCTCTACATTGATTGCAATTAATATATATTTATCATGCTACCGGAAATGATAACGTAATGTTGACTGTATTACATCGACAGAATGTCGTGTTTCGAAAATTTCGATATCGATAATGTACGAAAGATTATTTCCTTAGATCAACCTCGTTATCAATTATCGAAATTATATCACACGTTAAATATAAATATTTCACAACTTTTTCACAATTATTTGTAGACTTACAATGTAGACAAACAAGTACCGGATTCCGCGGGAACGGCCACTGCTATATTTTCTGGAGTGAAAACCAAATATCGGCTTATTGGATTGGACGCCAGAGCCGAATATAGCAAGTGTGATAAAAAAATCAACGAATTAAGCAAAGTGAGCACGGTAGCCGATTGGGCGCAACAATCCGGCAAGGACACTGGTGAGAGCTTTGAGCTTTGAAGAGTATATCTTTTTTTTCCTCTATTAATTCTAAAAAGTTTTAAACTACCCACACATTTTAGTTTTACATAAATTATTTCTCAGGATTCTCTCGTTTTATCTGATCCTATTAGTTTAGAATTATTTATGGAGCTATAAAAATGCAATTTTAGACGAGAGGAAGTTTTTATAGTTGAACATTTCGCCTGTGAATTATATAAGCGATCATATCGGAAGAAAGAAATCACAAGTTAATTAAAAACTCAATGGAGCTGCCGTTAATTGCCGTTTGAAACTTCATTCGGCCGACAAAATTTCGAATCAGGAGCATAATCGATAACTCATATAATACAACGAGATCAAACCTTGGCACAGATTTGCGCTTCAGATTTAAATATTTCAAACATTCTCGGAAAATAGAAATCGATCAAAAGAAACAGATAGACATTTCTCATGCATCGCCGATTGTCGATTAAATCGTTGACTAAGCAAATTTTTCTACATTACATAACATTGAAATAATAAATCTGTCAAGTTTTATTATATATAATATATATTTATCATATATGTTAAAAATATGATATAATTTACGCTCAAATTTAATTGTACGCATAATCACGTTAAGTACTTTATATTTAATTACAATTTATATTAAACAATCAAATCCAAATTGGAATAATGTTAGCAGTTCAAAGTTAATCTCAAATGACGAAAAATATAATACAATTTATATATTTATATATATTTTTTTTTTAATACTAGCACTACAAACGCGCGCTTCGCGCGCACTATTTAACACTAATTAATAGGAAGCTACATCTTTTTTCAATATTTAGATTATTAAGGATATTTTTAGAAGCGAGACACTCTGAATATAAATTGTACCCACGCGCGATTATGAGTATCAATTCCTGTAGGAGAACACGTGTCACGCGATCGGCTGTTTCATTAACATAAATGTTGGTGTTGAGTGGACCTCGTTGAAGTCACACAGTGAAAGTATACTCAATAAAACGAGGAGGTCGTAAGCCAACCTTCTACCGTGTCGCGTACAATCGGTCAGCCGTGACTGATTTCTACTTTGGCAAAATAATGGAGAAGCTTTTTATGTGCGTGACTCGCCGATTACTTAACATTAAGCATTCATTTCCCGTTGCACCTTGACCTTCGTCGTCTTTTTCTTAGTTACGTTGCTGTGCATGAATAAATCAGCGCGCAGCATCGACACACAAATAAAATATATCAAAACATAGTATAAAATATCTTTACAAAATACGAAGTATTTTTATAAATTGCAACGTAGTATTTTATGTTTTATGTTTTATTATAACATTTTATATCATGTTATTTAGAATACCAATTATTTACAAAATTGGTAAAGTTTCAATTTTAATCATTGTTATTGCTATTCAGAAGACCACTAAGCAAATTTTATGGATAATTCGTACACGATCAATTAACAGGATTTGTTACCACCACCCGTATCACCCATGCCACTCCCGCGGGACTTTACGCGCACGTTAATCATCGAGATTGGGAGTGTGATAGCGATGTACCGAAGAATCAACGATTTTGTATCAAAGATATTGCGGCACAGCTCGTTGAAGATGAACCAGGGAATCATTTTAAGGTAATTCATCGTATCTACGCATTCGTAAAGATCAATATAATTTCAAATCTAGCAGATTACCAAATAAAAATTGTACATAATATAGGTATGCACTAAAACATGATAATAAAAAGTATTTAGTATTATTGAAAATTATTTTGAAAAGTTAATATTGTTAAGAAAAATGATTTTTATCCTAATTAAAAATAAATCTCCTGTGAAATATAATTATCTATCCAACTACGTAACATTTTTTTAGAAATCTGCACTCTTTTTTCCTAAAATTTAATTTCCTAAAATAATCTAAATTGATTATTACAATTTGAATCTAATGTTAAATCTATATCTGTTCAAAGGTTATCATGGGTGGCGGAGGAGAACAAATGGGCACGGACATGAAGATGATAAAACCTGATTCCAATTCCTGCACGAGATCTGATGGCAGAAACTTGATAAAAGAATGGCAAGTGCTTCACCCTGAAGGAAAAGCCGTCACCAACATACATGACCTCATGTCCATCGATATAAGCAACACATCGCATATCCTCGGTGTTTTCTCGGCTAGTCACATGCCCTACCACGCTGTGAAGAGCCCCGAGACACCCTCGCTAACGAATATGACAACGCAAGCCATAAGAATGCTGAAGAAGAACAAAAATGGATTTTTCCTAATGGTCAGTAACACTGTTCAACAAAAAAATTACTTTTTTCAAGCACAAGAACGAGGATATTCATTTCACTTATTATTATTCAAACATAAAGGATTTCAACTCGTGAAAGATTTATTTAATAATTATGAACATAATTAAAAAATATTTAGTAGATCTTTAATGGCTTATGTGAGTTGCAACTTTAATCAAAAATTCTAATATTCATAAATATTTTTTTAATCGTTTGTCATACTCGACACAAGTTTCATTTAAAAGCTGAAAGTCCCTTAACGAGATTTTAATTGCAATAAAACTCTGCTTCAACACGTCATATATCACAGTTATACTATGCCAAAATATACTAAAATCACTTTTTCCGTATTTTTAATAGCAAATTTTTAAATTTAAATTATGACGTGATAGACTAATTTGCTTAATGGAATCGTATTCAACATCCAAAAAAACTATTATCATCGTTCTTGTACATTCTTTTTGTTGAATAATGTAATTGTCGGTAAATGGCATTGAATATTTATACCGAATGTAAATCAGATTGCTAGTCAGAGCGCAGAAAGGGTATTATGCAATAATGTACTCGATGAATATTAAAATGACATTAATGAAACGAAATCGAGACTACACATCAGGGAATCCTGACGGATATACGGTGATGCGATTCTTATGCAAATTACGCGTTGATGACCATTTTCATGTAATGCGTTCTTAGCCATTTGTTCCTCTTCATCTTCCCGGATACACGTGAAGGTCGTGCTATTTGAGCGTATAATTCTGTGTATAATTCGAGAACGCCATAATCCTGTTCTAATTTCGAAGTATCACGGAGAATAATTTAAAATTAGAATATTAACAGTGAACTGATATTTCTTTTTTTTTTTTAACTATTCCTCAACTTTTCAGGTTGAGAGTGGCAAAATCGATATAGCCCACCACGGCAACTGGGCGCAACTGGCATTGCGCGAGTTATACGAACTCGACGAGGCAGTCAAGGCGGCTACGCGGCTATTAAATATGGAAGAAACTTTAATTATCGTCACAGCCGATCACTCGCATTCGTTCACGCTGAACGGATATCCGGAGAGGGGCAACGACATTCTCGGTTTCGGCAACAAGAAACTTAGCCAGGAACCCTACGAGACTCTCTCTTACGCTAACGGACCGGGATTCTTCTATCATCGAAGAAACGATAGCAACAACGTTAATGAGACCTGGAGAAGACTCGATAACGATACGACTCGCAACGAACCCTTCTACAGACACTTCGCTGGCAAATATCTCAAGGATGAGTCTCACGGCGGAGAAGACGTCGGGGTTTATGCCATTGGTAAGAAACACAATTTTTCCCAATAAACTTTTGCTAACAATACAATATTCACGCTTGTTAAAAAAAAAAAGAGAGAAAAAGAGACATTTTATATATCATGAAAAATTAGATTCTTCCTCTTATGAAATATATACGTATATTTATCCTATTCTGATAATTAATTTGATTAATGTTCACTTATGAAGTGAAGAATGAAAAGAAATATCTTGAGATATTTCTTATTCCTGCGCCTTGAAGAATTAAGAGAAAGTCTCATTCTTATATATTTATAATATCTTATAAACATCTCACCTTACGGACTAATGTATATTTCTACCAATGTAAATTAACTTTTTCGATTTAATTTTTTATCTTCTTCTAGTTCTAAGAATTAGAAAAAGGAAAAATAAACCGAAATTAAAGTTAATCTAATTAATAGAAATAGACACAAGAGAATTAATACTGAAGTAAAGTTGCATTTTTACTAATTCATTTATCAGTTTATTTTCACGAATAACAATTTCAAAAAATACCTAGCATAAATAATATCTTTTGCAGGCCCCTATTCACACTTGTTCCGAGGTACTTTTGAGCAGAATTACATTGCTCACGCCGTGGCGTATGCGGCATGCCTTAAAAACTGGCCGTCTCATTGCGACGAGGCTTACCATCGTTACTTTTATGACGTCAATAGGGCACCACCGAACAGCAGGACAAATTTAGCCGGACAAAACACCGTGTCGCTTGCGATAATAATAACTTCCCTGTTTACGCTGATCTTTATATGGTTGTGATAAGTGTAACTGCATTTTCTTTTTGTAGCCAAATAAACAATAATGCGCCGCGAGAATTCGCGTCTCGAGTAATTGGTATCAATGCAAATAATATTTATTGAACACATATCGTTCCCTTGTGCTTTTACTGAGAAAAATTCCAACTGCAAATCTTCTGATATACGGTGTAACGCGATAAGATTTCTTTTGCGGTGCACATCTACGATCTTTGTAATAGACTAAATAAGTTGTGATCGCAAATATCGTATACGATTTTTTTCTATAATCTCATTACTCATTATATTTCCTATAGATGTAATTACATTTTGATGATATATTACTGTTTATAATTTTATTTATTGTAATAATTGAAGAAATTAGGCTCGTAAGAATAAATATATTGAAGTGGATCCTACGCGAGCTGACACAGGTGTGTGTGTGTGTATGTGCGTGGCGAGATATTGTAACAACAAAAAATTAATACATGCCAACACCCGTGTCGGCTCGCACAAGCTTTACTTCAATATATTTATTTATTGTGATGTTTAGAGCTCAACAAATAATCGTGATTATAGGTCGCGGGTTTTGTATGAACTCGAGTAACACAATGTTTTTTTTAATTATTGCAACAATGACGAATTTATTTTAAAACATGGAGAAATTTGGACGGCATTATTTAAAACACAGGTTTGCAGGATTTTCGAAATGATGACAGGTGCTGATAAGAAAAGATGCTCATAACCGTATGTCTTCGTAATGCAATACATTGCCATGTTTCGAACAAAGATAACATCGCCATTGAATGATCGCGAATAAAATTCTAATACTTTTCAGTGAGATATTAAAAAATGTACAACGTTTAAAATAAGTAAGCTACTATAACATAAAGAATCGTCCTTCGAAATATAAGATATAATAAGAGATATAATAAGAGAAATAGAATAGTTTTTTATGTACTTTAACTCGTTACTTATCAAAATAAATATAAACCTATGTATATAATAGCGCATTGTATTAATATACATTGTTACAAACTGATAAAACAATTTCTGGTCTAGATGCCTTAATCATGCAATTATACGTAAATTATAATATTATTATGGATGGAATAAAGTTCCTCATTATATTGTTTGTTAAATTTTATGTCGTAATAATTACGTAAGCGCGACAATAAATCATTTAATAGACTTTAAGTTACTACTAACTCGATTAGATTTTCATGTTAATAATTCGATCCTGTTTGAAATAAAGACTGCAATATGATAACGAAAAATGTGTGTACATTTTAAATATATATTAAATTTAGCGATTCACCAATTTTGATTCATGTCATATTATGTAATAATCTCATTATAAATTTCGTATACATTTGCATATAAATTAGAAGTAGAAATTGAAAGAGATATAAAAACAAACAAAATATATTTCAGGAAGATACACTTGTGCGGAAATCAAATGTAAAATAACCACAAGAAAAATATCCGTTTCAAGATTGCCTATGATTTCCCTTTAACGATAGCGAGATAATAATTTTTATAGATAAGTGGCGCCATATCGTCACTGACGAAATTTCTGTCGGGTTTGATCGAGGCGAATGGATTCCTACATGGCTCCAAAATCGTCTCTACATCAGCGATCGATTTTATCCTGATCATCTCTCGCGGAATCTCTCGCTTCGTGTAAGACGTCACGCACACGGGAACTTTCGTCTTGCAAAATTCTTGTATCGTCTCCGGCCACGTGTCCTTGCCGTCGTAACCAGTTTCCCGATAGAGACCCGGATTAAAGAGACACACGAGATGCGGTTCTACAAACTGTTTGGTACGGCAGAAATCGTGATAGAATTTTCCAGGATAGAACGAAACTTCTACTCGTCGTCCGGACGATTTGCAAGTCGAACAGATCCTAACGGCGGTCAACAGGTCTAATGGCACCGTCGGCAGACTCAGTTCCGGACCAACGAACATCAACCTGAGATGCTTTAAATTCGGAAGGAGATGTAGAAAGAATTTCTCCCACACGTGCAGATTTATACACTCGAACTGAAACTCTGCGCCTATCACGTGGATCACGAGGCTATCGATGACTTTCCAATTTTTACAAGAAATTTGCATGGAATACAAAGCCGTCAACGGAATGGACGAGATATGAGAGAGACTGCAGTACGTGTAGCAATCCATATTGCAATAATATGTCGATCGACCGTAAAGCCGTGCTGTTAACCGATCAAAATTGTCCGGCAAGTGAAGCGATTCTTTCGGGAAGACATCCGGAATCTCGGGCTCTACGTGACCGTTTTTGTGTTGCATGAACAGCATCCTGCGAAACACCTGAGACTCCCGACACCACTTCACATGTCCGCCGTCGTGATTCTCGCAGAACAGACCGATTCCGCATGCCGGACAGCATCTCAGAGTCGCCGAGAAACGATGACAACCGCAGCAAACGCGCGGATAAAGGAGTATCTCCTTCTCCCAGAGCTGGAGAGGCCTGTCCAAGCGGTACTGCACTATCTCGATCAATTTCAGCCGATAAACCCGATAATCGTCCGCGCTGAGCTCCGACAGTGACATCAAGCCACCTCCGAGCACGCAGACCTCGGTGAGAACTTCGCACAGGCCGCGATGCCTCGGCCGGTCTTGCTTCATATGTCCGACGGTGCAGTAAGAAACCATGCCGCAAGACTCGCAGGTCACCTCCGATCGTTCCATGCAGATCGGACACAGGCTCGACACGAAGACAAAACGCGGCCAGAAATTCAGCTCGATCGTGTCCTCCTCGTCGCTGTCGTCTGACGATCGATGCTGCGTCGGACGTACGAGTGGCAATTTCAAACGCGAGTAGACGTCGATCGCGCCTTCGGCAACGGAAGGATTATCTTCTGCTTGCTCTTCCGTCACCTCCTTTTCGCCGGAATTCGATTCTTCTGCTGTCTTCCTCTCGCAAATTTTCTGAGTGACAGAGATTCTTTTCGGATTCTTTTTCCTGCGACCCATCATTAAAACTGAAACAACGAGACAAATTAAATGCAACGAATAATGCAGATTTTTATAACGTGCAAGTAGAATTAATTTATATTTCAGCTAAGTGAGCGCACTTACGTTATATCATCTCGAACTGTATGTGAAAAACGGCTTATGCAATTGAAAATGATTTTATTACAGCGATTATTGCGATTACATAATACGGTGTTACGCGTACGGGTATTTTAGTGTTTCAAGCGCGAACACGATTGGTTACATAACTGCGCGTCCCGTCAAAGAACACGTGTGTAAACCATTATTTTAGAATATCACAATACGAGGGGGAGGGGGGCGCACACGTATCGTAATTAACAACCCGGGTGTGCTACAAACGCTAATAATTAAACTCGACCGCGGCAGGCTCTACTTGCGTTTAATGACCTGTTCTATATCTATCGAAAAGAGAAGACAATTATCTCCTAATTTAGCACGCCGTATTCAACTGTACATTGCGTCCATTATTGAAACGAGGATTTCGTTCATTTGCAATTTCGAATGCATTAACATTATTGCCCTCCGCATGTATATTTAACGAGGTAAATCACAGTATGATAATAATTGGCGAATTATTAAAAATTTGAATACTTACCCTCACGAATTCTTCACTCGATTCTTCTTCGATTACTTAGAAAAATATTGTGTACAACGCAAAGAGCGCTGTATTAATAATGATACCACTGTGCAACGTATTTACCGAGATTATCTTGATTTTGAGACTCTCTCGCGACTTAGATCACGCGTCGCGATTTGATTTTCCCTCGGCCGAAGACCAGACGCCTCGACCGTTCGAAGCGTCGCGAGGTATTATCAGGGACGCGAGTACGTCGATGGGCACTATGCCTAGTCGCCCAGACAGCATAAAGTATTTCAAGCACCGCGTACTGGCAATAGGATATTCGAAGACGAATAGCCAAAGACGAGTGATGTTTGGCTCTTAAGGGGAAAGGGGAGTAGTGTATTTCGAAGCAACCGGATACGTCGACTGACAAGTAGCAATAACATAATTCTGACATCTCAATTTGTAAGCATAATGCGTTTAATATGTCTGATAATAAATAATAGGACTTCTATACGTGAATTAATTCGTGTGTGTGTGCGTGTGTGTGTGTGTGTGTGTGTGTGTGTGTGCTGCAAGCTATTATTAACATTACAGATGATATTGTCGCGAATGCAAATTTATCCTATCGTCCTCGACATTTGCACGTGAACGGCACGTGTCACGGAAATACTCAATATATAAAAATAATATTACCAATTAAATAATTAATATTAAAGTAATAAAATATTTACGCGATAAGAATAAGTATGATTACGCGCAAACGAAACATATGGAGATAGTGGATTGTTTTGATAAATTCTCATCTTTATTTCTTGATTTTCAACCTTGAAAGTAACTTTCCATTACTATTGAGTTTTGTGAGATTTTTTTAGAATTATTAAAAAATATAAGAAATTAATCAAGTGTAGAGCAATATGTTAGTAGGTGCAATAGATGCAGAAACGGCAGCAATCAAGGTCAAGTTTATAGTATTTGGAAAACTACATAATAGATGCCTATTCTTTTTCTGCATGTTTAAAATACTTAAAAAAATATTAATATAATTATTAATATAATTATTAATATTAATATAAATATTAATATAATTAATCATTTCCGTTATTTATAATAATATATATGTAGACGTATATAAGCAATAATCATTTTTTATCTTTCAACAAAATTGTAGACAAGGCATCTTATTCCGTGAGCACCGATAAATAAAATATTTTTTATTCCCAATGTTTTATTATTTATATGTTAATTAAATTGTTTGACATATTTTTTTTTATTTTTTATTATATATATATATATATGTATTAAAAATATTTTAATCAATATTACGGCAAAAATAAAAAAATTAGGAATAAAAAATATTTACTTATTTATTAAAATATATTGTTTAATATTGATATCATATACACATAGCGGATAATATAATTTATATTTTTTATTCTGTTAATTACGTTTACCAACGTAAGCAGTATCTTTTCAATCATATAAAATTGCGCGTGATCTTCTAAATATGTTAAAATCACTTCATAAATTTTGCAATTATTGTTAATACTTTAATTCAGACATGAAATCGCCACAATTTCTGAAGGTTCAAATTTCGATGTCATAGGTACGCAAAAATGATCCTTACGTGCGCTCGAGAAACGGCATTCGCTGGCGGCAACTATCGGCGACGTCTCGAAATATCCGCAGCGTCGAAACCCATTACTCTCCCCGGCTCTCGTTCATCTAATTATTCGAACATCCCATCTAATTAGTTCTCGTGCGTTTTCAAGACAAGAATCTATTGAGCTTGTGAGAGCTCGACTCAACGCAATCGTATTAACATTAAATCTTAATTCGCTCTTAATTCGCGATTTAATATGCGCGTCGCTTACCTCCGAACGCGCGACACGACGCGTCATGACGCTCGCGCTCGCTCGCCGCCAAGAGCCGGCAATTATCCGTCGCCATCCGTTCCAGGTGGCCGCGCTACCACGTTCAATTACGCTCTTTCGTTTCGTCGCGACGTCCGCTCCACGATGAGCACTTGCGCTTCGGCAAATTCACGCGATGTCTATGCGAAAATTCGAAAAAATGTGGAGCGCGCACGGGAGCAGTTGTGACGACTTGGCGCACCGCCATTCGAGAGAATTGCAAATGGCCGGCCGGTTTCGATAATATCGAACTCGATATCTCGATGCGACTCCACTCGATGGTCGCACTACTTGCACTACTGTGGCGCGGTGCGATACGGTTGTCGGTCGGTGTCGGTGGGTTAGGATCGCTCGATGAGCTGGCAACAGAGTGAATTTTTGTGTTTCTTCTGAAGAAACCCGTGATCGTCCTGAGCATCGTACGCGGCAGCCGCGCTTATGATCGGCCGATGGACCAGCACGCGAAGGAAAGTCACCGCGTATTCGAGGTACGTGGCGCGCTTTTGAGGTTATGGCGGCCGGGCTGTCAAAGACGGCCGCCGCGCGACCGACGAGGAATCCGCCTTTCTTTCACTGGAACGTAAAAATTCGCCTTCATTGAATCATCCTGGAAGCGCGGCAGGGATTTTCAAGCAAAATCCTGAAGTGCACCGCAATTTATTTTACGGTTGAATATACGATTTTTGGAATTCTGCACTGTACACTCGCGGTGTGAATATTTCGATGTAGAAAATAATTGCAACGTTTAAGGGTGTTAAAAATAAATTGTTGTTCATGGAATTTTGTTTGGAATATCAGAAATTGAAAGGACCTTTTCCCTGAGGAAACTGAGATACAATCGCGAATGAACGTTCTAATGGATGAAAATATAGCGATAAGCAATATCGTATAACTTTTAATTTTAGCAAAATTTTAAGTAATATTTGGTGGTAAAATCGAGGGAAGCAATCAAATGTATTCTGCTGTCTATCGAATTTATCTATCCTGCAAAATATTCCCAGATAACGAAGTCAAAATTGGGACATGAGACGTCTTAAAGACAAACTTTTGCAAAAGACGTTTTATATCTTGATTTTAAACTTCATGTTATGACAATTGTTCGAAAACCAATTTCTTGTTTTTACGAGTCTTTATTTGCTGGTAGTTTGTTTATGTATTCATTTTGATATGTGGCTGTTATTATTATCTGTTTTCCTCGTAACAGATGATAAGGTATATATTTATACTCTTAAAAAAGACTAAGACTTATTGAGAAAAGAGATATTTTAAAATACAATTTTATATATAAAGTGGACGAGTCACGAATTACAAAATATAAAATTTTGTTTGAAATTGTCTGAGCATAAAGATAATACTGTGTACATATGCAAAACATTGATGATGTCATGTGTAATAAGTATATCTTGTATATGATAACAAAAAGTCCCTGCACGGTCTGTATAAAATTACTCACTTTATTTCACTTCAATTTTTTCTCCAAATTAATCTGTTATTTTTAATATGTAATTTAAAGAGACCAAAAAATTATTAGTAAAGATTTGCAATAAATGAGAGCAATTTTTGGTATTATTTCAATAAATCAACTAATTTTGTAAGTTTAAAATTCCATTAGTTATTGCGTTTGCTTATTGATTAACAAGAAGATATACAGAGTTTTTATAAAAATTGTACAGTAATTTAATAATTATTTATAAAAACTACTGAAAAAAAACAATTTAATTCATACGTCGTTACTGCGACCTTCTCTACAGAATTGTAATATAAACGTAGAATTGTTTCAGTTACAGTAATAGCATTATGAGACTATACGACCCGAGGAAATGAAAAGAAAAGAAAGAGAATTAGGGGCTTGCCCCTAAAACCAACGGTGACTTTAAATTAGATCCAGCTCTAAAAACAGGCTAGAACAGACGCGACGAAATGTGTCTGTCGCTTACATAGCTCTAGTTACACACTCAAGTCGTCACCGACCTTAGATAATGGACTATCAGTGTCGTAAGAAAAAATGCGGAATTTCTTACAAATTCCGATTATTGATACGAGATAATCTACGTCACCAAGCGAATCTGCCATTTCGCTGAAAATATTAATTACTCTTAACAAAATTCCTGTCAACTTTTTATCTTTGCGCAAGTTTTATTAAATTTTTATTAACGTTAAACTTACTTGTAAAATTTGCTCATAAAAACATTAAATTATAAAATATATGAGAATTGATATCATTTTTCTTGTCACGAAAAATTAATTTCAAGTACATTTTTTATCAATGAAGCTAAGTTGTAAGTTTAGAATCCTCTAATTCTTTGGATCAACTGATATTATTCAATTCGGAAATTAAATATTAGACGTGCGTAAAATGTAAATAATTATTTTTAAAAAATTCGCCGGCGCACTTTCTTTTGGCTGCTCTAACGAATCGTTTCCGTTTTTGGTATACGCAGTATTCGCCGGTGATCTGCAAAAGGAAAGCTAACGAGGATGAGCCATGTGAAGGTACAGGAAGACCGCTATGGGCACAGTAAACTCCGTCGCAGGCAATTAGAAAAGAGCAGCTCGCCGCCGAATAAAATGGTGGGATTGGGCAGCGATGAGCTATTCATTTCAAACATCACCGATGTCAACAATATGGAATTGGAGATCACCTCCGAGGACGACAGCGATGATAACGAGAGAGGCGATATACGACGGCTGATACCGTCGCCGGTGGACAGCGAGAGCGTTGTATTTAGCAGCGGAAAAAGGGACAATCAAAGAAGCGAGACAGAAAATGCGGACGATGAAACCGTCTGGTCTATATCCATCCAGATGTTCATACCCTTCCTACTCGCCGGCTTCGGCATGGTCGCCGCTAGTTTGCTGTTAGACGTGGTGCAGGTATTGAAAATTGATTCTTTTAATTATCATAAATTTTAAGCGCATTTTTAAGAATCTCGAAATGAGAAATAAATAAAACGTAGTAACAGCAAATTTGCTTCTCTCTGTTAAGATTTTTTTTTATTGCATTTCTCCTCAAAAGCTAATCATGAATTTCCAAACTGTCATTCTAGTGTAAAGAATAATAAATCTGATCTCATGAAATAAAATGTTGAATTTTAGCACTGGCCGGTGTATCAAGTAGTATCCGAGGTATACATACTAGTTCCTGCTCTGCTGGGTTTGAAGGGAAATCTAGAGATGACGTTGGCCTCCAGATTGTCGACTCATGCTAATCTAGGTCAAATGGACACGAAGAAGCAACAGTGGACCTTAATTGTCGGAAATTTAGCCTTAATCCAATGTCAAGCTATGGTAGTGGGTTTGCTGGCGTCCCTGGCAGCCGTGATCCTCGGCTGGATCCCGGAGGCTCACTTCGACATTCACCACGCGCTCCTGTTGTGCGCCAGTGCCTTGGTCACCGCTTCCGTAGCCAGTTTCCTGCTGGGCCTCGTGATGGTCGCGGTCATACTGCTGTCGCGACGAATGAACATCAACCCGGACAATGTCGCCACCCCGATCGCGGCCTCCTTAGGGGATCTAACCACTTTGGCTCTTTTATCCTGGATCGCTTCTGTACTGTATAAAGCAATAGGTACAAATAATGAATTGATTTATCTTTTCGTTCTTATTATCATTCGAATATTAACACAAATACGTGCTTCTTCAGATTACGCTCCGTGGGTAGCTCCAACGTTGATAGTATTTTGTGTATTTGTAACTCCCGTGTGGGGTTACATAGCAGCTAGAAATCCATTTACTAAAGAAGTATTGGACTACGGCTGGACACCTGTGATATCCGCGATGTTAATTAGCAGGTAAATACTTTCCATTGCACATTTGACGAAAAATTTCATGAACGAACAGCGTATGTCAACAAATAACATTGATTCCAGTCTTGGTGGACTGATTTTGGACTACACTATATCGAGCTACAAGGGCATAGCGGTTTTTCAATTAGTAATTAACGGCGTTGGGGGAAACTTGGTCGCCGTTCAGGCCAGTAGAATATCGACGTCCCTACATAAGGATTATCATACGGGTGTTCAAGAGGCTCTCAACGTTTGCATTAGTCCATTCCACGCGTTCTTTGCTAAAGGTGGGTTTGCTACAAACGCTTATGTGCAAAATATAATTATGTCGGTCGTGAATTTATAACAAGGAATTTTCGGTGCAGGGGGACACGCGAGGACAGCTAGAGTATTGCTGATGATGGTGATACCAGGGCACTTGATATTTAGTTATACCATTAGTTATCTTCAGGCAGGTCACACCTCGTTCACGCCTATATTTATCACGATATATTTGATCGCTGCAATGTTGCAGGTACAGCATATGTTAATCTGTATTAATTAACAGAATATAAATTGTTTTTTTAACGACTGAAATTTAAGAAAATTTAAAAAAATAAGAAATTGACTAAACTTGCTTGTTTAATTTTTAGGTAATCCTATTGTTATACATTGCGCAATTAATGGTCGTTTGGATGTGGACGAGAGGTATGGATCCAGACAGTTCCGCAATCCCATACTTAACAGCAGCAGGCGATCTTATAGGAACTGCACTTCTTGGAATAGCCTTCCATATCCTTTATGCCATAGGCGACGGCGACTCTGACGTAGGAGATTGATCGGTAAAGCTTATACAATGCCCTGAATCCTTTATAAATGTTACAGGTCACAGATTTCGGAACTGTCTTTCGAGAGATCACGATGAGAAATCTGATTTGAACTCACGATGTGCGCGTGACGATTGTGATTCGAAGTTATCAGTGATTACTCCCTTTCGTTGCAGTGAGTTTTTCTTTCGAAACGAAGCTCCGTTCGACATCTGCATGAAAAGGGTATGTTAAAAGTACAAATTAAATTAAGCATATATCTGTTAGAGTATGCTGGATGCAAAAAAAAAGACAAGATGGAATTACAGTATTCGCCAATATTAATTCCGCTATATTGATAATTAAATTGTCATGTAATTACAAAGATACAATTAATTTGAATCGCGACTATGCCAATAAATATGGGCCAGTAAATGAGTATATATATATAAATACTATGCTTTGAAAAATATATTGCCATCATACGAGATATTTTCTTAAGCTTTGTCATATCAATCGTAAGATGCCTATACATAAATTTAGTTCAATTATAAAATATACAGTGGATGTATATCATACATATACATTACAACGTTGATCAATTGAATAGTGGATAAAAATTTTAATATTTTTTATATAATTAGCTATTAGCTAGGAAATTTTATATAGGGCAATTCTCAATTATAGCGTTAAAGCGGAAGATGAGCATTCTCCCTCTTCCCCCCCCCCTTTCCCTTTCTCTTTTTCTCTCTCCCTTTTCCCTTCTCCTAAGAGTATTCTTTTTAATTTATTCTAACTCGGAAAATTATATATATATATTATATGTATAAAATCTAAGCGGTCTGTATATATAACATTTTTGTTTTTACATAATTTTGCCATCTGAAGTACATCTGAAGCTATAATTGAAAAAATATATATGTATGTATATATAATTACATTATTTTATTTTGATTAAATTAGAATATTTGTAATTATATAAAATTAGCTTTTACCAAGGCGTAACAGATTAGATGAGAATTGGAATACATAAAAAAATAGGATTCTTGAAATATCGTCAGAGTTATCAAAAGGCTAGACTTTAACTGCAAATTATATTAATTGCAAAATGATTTGTCTCACGAACTAAATCCAATTCATAGCAGCAACTGATTTAAAGAGAGATACTATCAACCTACGATCCACGATAAGAATGCCAAAAAACTATTTCTTTATAACTCTGACGATCTTTCGAGCAACATTTTGAAAAACACTTATTCATGTTTAACATCTTAGAAATTCTCTTGGAAAAAAATATATACTTGTATAAATATTCGTATAAACATAAAAATATTCGGATAATATTTCATATCTCGAGAAAATATATAAAAAGAAGTGGGTGGTACAGTATTTTGTATCAGAAGTATAAATATACTTATACATACACATTAATTACGGGACATATTTGGAATGAGAGAAATCCATATTATAAATATAATATATATGATAGTTGTACATGTGTCACAAAGAAGAGAGTGAAATACTATAAATGAGTTCTTTTATTATAGTATTATATTAAATATTTTTACTCTTAAATTATATATAAATAACGGATAAAAATAATTTGTTTATTTAGTTTTGCAACGATATCGGGAATATAAGATACACATGTATCTTATATGTATATATGATATTCTACAATAAGTTAACGATGTTATACCGGCATATCTAGATATATTGAGATAAATCCCTTGAAAAATTATTGCGAAGAAGATAAAGTGCTGAAACTTTATTCGCACTTTCCAGTGCCTAAAGCATGTATGCTGTTTGGAAGTCCGAAGTAATCGACGTTGTATAAAAGATTTACTTGTGTAATATACAAAATATAAAAACACGAATTCTAGCACAACGATTTGTTATGTTTATACGAGAGAATAAAATCTCGATGAATAACTGCTGTATTTTATCATTGCTTATCTCAAGTGCATGCGAAAAAAAATGAGATAATTTCAAATTGAACGATCTTTGTGTTAGTACCTTAAGTACCAAAATAAGTGCCCCCCGAGTGTGCGTGATTCGTTGTATTTAGAACAGCGAAAATAGAAATCAAGGGTTTATTTTACAGACAGAATATTTGCGATCGGACTACATTGCATTGTAATTTTATTGCAGCTTTAAATTTAGTTGATATTGGTATCATGCTATACTCATGTTCGATTTTACGGAAAATTTACCGCGTTTATCCTGTCGTCGAGGGATACATCTCGGCTGCAAAGGAGAGTCGGACGAATCGGGGGGGGGGGGGGACTTTGGCGAGTCTCGCGGGGACACGGAATAATGCGTTTCCAATTCACGCATGAGAGAAGTGCGCGTGCACCGACCGCGACACGCAGGAGGAGACCCGCGCGTCTTCTCCGGCCGCGCTCGTTTAAAGCCCCGTCGCACATCCTCCCGCTCGTTCTCGCTCGTCGTAACCACCTACACCGTAATCACGCGGTGCCGTTTCTTCGTTTGTGTGTGTACGTGTGTGCGTGTACACGTGTATATGTGTGTGTGTGTGCGTGTGTGTGTGTGTGTGCGCCGGTTCATTCATCCACGTCGCCGTGTTCGCGCGTACGTGCACGTGCACGGGGAGCCGCGCGTTTACATGTGCACGCACACACGCGCGACGACGGCGGCGATTCGCGCGGTCAAGCCCGTCGACGGCGACGACTCGCGCGGTCAAGCCCGACGACGGCGACGACGACTGTGAATGAAATAGTTGGATCTGTCAGTGCCAACTATCGCGCCGTTCCCGGTGTTACGCGGCGCGGCTCTCCCGATCTTATCTGCCGTCGTGCGTCGTCGCGCGTAAAAGGGGTAGCGAGTGGCCGCGAAAAGAGCGCGATTACTCCGACCCGAAGGTCGCGCACCGTTCAGGGCTCTATAATCGCGGTGAGTTCGATTTCCCGATGCGGACGCGAAAAGAAATTCTCAACGACTGTTGTGAACTAAAGGCGGTCCTTAGAGAATAATAAATTAAAGGGGAAAAAAAAAAGAAGAAATCTCGTCCGCGACGTCGTCGGGAAGCGTCTGAGAATGTAGCATTAAACTGCAATACAAAAGCTTACAAAACGCAGCTCGGCCGAAACCATAGTGAGACTTGCGGTCTTCTTTCCCTCCCCCTTCCCCCGCGCGAGGCCGCATATATGTATACGCTCGTTTCATTTTCAATTCAGAAAGGGGTCACGAAGAAGCGCGACTGGACAGACGTACCTTTTAATTCGACCCTGAGCTACTTTTATAATCGCTGAATTGTAGCTGATGGGGGTTACTATTCCTGAAGTCGCTCTGAAATTAAGTCAGTTTCAATCCCCGCGCGACACCTTCCGCGCGCGGGATCTCTGATCCTCCGATCCCCTTTCTTTTTTTTTTCGCGACTTTCCGTCGTCATTCTGGAAAAGTTCCAAGTGATAGGCGATCGGGAAACGACCGATAACGGGTGTGAAATAACCGAGGCGCGCGTGATAACGGTTCCGGAGCGAGTCGAGGTGTTATAAAATATAATCACGGACTGTGTGTTGATGCCAGATCAAAGAGAGCGGCTCCACGACGGACTTTCGTCGTGCTAAGCTTCCTTCCCGCTCCCGTTTAGCGTTCGTCTCTCCGCGCGCCGGATTTAGTTGATAACTGGTTCTGAATTACGGTCCACGTAATTTATACGTCTGCATTCCGATCTCGCGTTGGTCCGCGCTCTCGCGTGCGGTGGATTCCTTTTTCTCCGAAATTGGCCGCGCGCGCGCGAAGAGGCGGGGGTGCATCCGAAACCCGTCTCCGTTGGCGCGAGTAATAAATAATAAGGGAAGTTACGCGCGCGAGGATAAGCGAGTCGGCCCGGGCGAAGAGTGAACGGCTTGGTGGCAGCATCTCCTCCGCATGGACCATCGTGCGGAAATCGAATGAGGGCCCTCACGTGCACAAGTGGCGGAATGCGGAGCGGCACCGCGGGATCCTCCTCGGCCAGGACGACGAGCGAGCGCGTCGTCATCCGGAGCAGCTGACCAACGTGTAAGTATGAAATAACGACGGAGGGGATTCTCCGCACCTGCGGATTCTCGCCGGGAATACGCGCGTATACACGATTCTCATCCGGCGACAAAAGTAATAAAATAATCGCGGCGAGCGAGCGAGACGGCCGCGCCGGTGGGATAAGATACACCGGGAGAGACGAGGTATCAGAGCGTATGTTAAGTTATTGCCCGTCATGGTCGAACTTAAACACGTGGAGTAATTTATCAATCTGCGAATATGTTACGGAAGCGCTTAGGCGCTCGCGTCGCCCGGAGAGCGATTTGCGGGCCTCGTCGGCGGAAAAGCGTCGCGATGTGAAACGCGAAAACGGGGCCTGTGGAAATCCGGGAGAGCGTCTTCTCTGCGCAATCCGGCATCAGGCTGATCGTCGGATTTAGGACCCCCTTCCCTGCGTGTAGTAATAAAAAAATTAATAAATATAAAGTCATATAGATTCCGAGACACGCTCAATCGTGCGCTCGAGTATGCAGTACACGAAGCCACGGAGAAGAGTTACAACACTGACCGTTGTAAGACGTAACGATATACTTGCGAACATTTTTTAGATGCCTATATAATCTTTATTCTAGCAGCGGAAAAAATTAGATACTGATATACTGGACGAGAAGTGGCGTCACAAAAATCTTTTACTTTTACTACTGGATAAATAAAGCGTGTTAGATTGAATTAAAAAGCTTGTAATAATCTCGCAAAATAATGTGAAATATTTGCTTGTAAATTAAGCTATTTCATCTTTAATGTGATAAAACAATCATGTCAATTATATAAAGCTGAAAAGAAAAACGATGCGTTCTCCACACCGTGTTTTTATGTGGAACGCGGTCGCGAGCGCGCGGAGTGGCGGAAAAGTGAGAATTTAGCTTCTTAGCGCGGCGCAAAGTGACGATGAGAGGAGCGTGGCCGAGTCGAGAGACAAGCGTGTAAAAATATATCGTGACGACGTCTCCGGGGGTACCGGCAGCGCCGAATCGCTCGCGTGTGGTCCACCACGCGGAGGAGTGCTCCTTCTCAAGTTGCACGCGATAACGCTTTGCGTAAACCGGCCACGAGTCCCCGGTGCAAACAGGCGCCGGTGGTCGCGCATCTGTTTAATCTGTTATCGGACCGGCCGTCGCGATCGTGCTGCGATATATTCCCGAGAGTCACATCACCGCGAGAAGTAAATTGGAGAACGCGAGGTGGCCCCAATCAATCAGCGAACGTTTCGGCTTCAACTGCAGTCCCAATGGGACTTTTAAGTGAAAAACTGT